CAAAATGCAAATTATAAATTAAAATATAAAAATTATTTATTGACCTCATCTTGGATTGCTAATTAAAAATCTGCTAGATTTTAGCAGATCACGTGACCAGCGTCTACCACGGTCTTTTCTCCTCCAGAGGAAAGACCCTGGGTACGAGGTTGGGGACCTATAAATGCAGGATTTACGTCTGACATTTTCTGTTATTCCCCTATTATATAGGTGCTGGTTGGGTTGTTGCTTAATTCCATTTTATATTCAAAGTTGTAAAGACGTTCTTCATCTTTGTCCCTATTGTGGATCTGCTGTTGGAAAATACAACCGACTGTGCTGAGTGCTGGATATAATCCAGTATACTTAATTTTTATGTAAAATGAAGATGAAAGATATATATCTAAAATGAATGGCTATATGTGAAAACATAACAGCGAATCATGAGAAGAATCTAAGTCTACGTTTACACAGGGCTGGATGAATTCGGAACCGTTCTCAAATTCGTCCAGTTCCACATGTTAACACGGAACAGGATTACGAGACGAAAAATGTTCACACGGAACCGAATGAATTGTTGTCCCGGAAGTATTTACGTACACGTGTGCAGATGGTCTCAGTCAGTCTAAATCCCAATACTCTACTGAACAAAATGGTCTTGAAATAGACCGGTTCCGATACAAAACGAGACCCAATTTTATTTCGTCTCGAATTCGTCCGTGTAAACGCAAGGCCGAATTTGAGTACGGATCCAAATTCCCGTGTAAACGGGGCCTAAATCTTGTACCATGCCTTATAAATTGAATAAATGTCTAGTGTAAAGCCAAAGAGGTAATATAGACGCCCTAATATGAGCTATCTTCCCATGCAAGTTACCCATTCCAGAACACGTGATGCATGCATGCTATCATCTTTTATCACTCTTTGTGTTTGCAGTGTGTGAAGGACGCAGTAAGAGGATAAAAGACCTCGCACACTCTGTATGTAAATATAGTCTCAATAATTCTTACATCACTTGGCATAAAAAAAGAGCCAGCCACTTTTGGTAATGTAGTCGCTTCAGTTGAACAAAATCACTATAGCATGCGCATAATGAAGACCACAGTGATTCAGTTGTCGATGAAGAAAAGTGGAATTTCCTAGCCTTTAATTGAACAGGGATACCTTGTTGCTTTCCACAGTGGAATCAGTGTATGTTACACTCCAAATATATGGCG